TCCCTTTTATAAGGACACTGATCCCATTTATGATGACTCTAAACTCATGACCTAACCACCTCCCAAAGACCCCGCCCCCTAATCCCATCCCATTGGGGGCTAGGATGTCAACATAAATATTGGAGGATGCAACATTCATTCTGTAACACCCTCCTTCCTTTCTTCCCCCAGTGCTGAGGGTCTGAGATCTTCCTTCCAACATCTGCCCCTCCTTGATCCCCTCACCTATGGTCCACTCAGGTCTCTGTTGAACTCCTGAACCAGGAGCACCACCCACACTGTTCACTTCGTCTCCCGCCATCCTGGCTGCCGTCGCTCCTGTTTACAGATGGGACTCTGGGCAAGTCGCAACTGAGCCAGGATCTGGCTCCAGACTGTGCCCACGGCGGCAACACCGTGTGGCTTTGTACCACACTGTGCTGTCTCCCCTACAGACCCCTGGAAGTCCCACCTGACTTCCCCATCACGGAACAGAAACTGTCACTAAAATGACAATGACTAATTTGGGCTTAAAAGATTAACAAGCTCCTCAGATCCTAGTCACATCTTTCTTTCAGCTAGAAATTTCAATTCTGTCAATGATGAGAAAAAAAGCAAAGAAATACCCCAGACTTGAAGACAGAAAGACAGACAGCAACACCCTCCTCCACTGGGGACCAGGTAGAAGGAGGGGACCCCAAATCCAGATGTTTCAGGGCCCTTCTGCACCAGACAGAGCACAGGGAAAATACCAACTACCCGGCGTAGCCTAGACAGAAATTTCCACGGGGCTTTTTCACTCTGAGAAACACTTCCTCAGAAAATAAGCTCACGTCAAGGGTTTCACTCGAAAGGACGGAAGGAATTTTCCAGGAGTGTCCTGTGGTCTGCTAGAGACACAGCCCATCCCTGAGACTCCCAGAGACTGGCTTGTTCCAGTGGGCTCCTAATTCCCACGGCAGGAGGTCCAAAGCGAGGAGGGGCAGGTGTCAGGAGGGGTCTGGGCCCCACCCCGCCCCGCCACCACAGCAGCCATGCTTTCATACCTGGGTCCCACGCATGATTTTGGGGGGGGCGGGGGGCGGGCGGCAGGGGGATGTAAATGACGCCATGAAACAAGGAAAGAAACAATGAGATCCAACCCAACTCCTCATAACGCAAAAAGAACAGTGACACCCAGGTCGAAGGACCCACGGAGCCCCACAGAGCTGGCGAGGCCTCCTGCAGTTAGAATCCAGCGCTGTGTTGACGCCACAGCCAGCACCCTCATTCGGTCCTGGGTCCCACTAGGCGGTGTCTAGTGATGGGCGCTGTGCATAGCGATGAGCTCAGCACAGGTCTGCCCACGAGGCTGGCGGCCCAGTGGAGGCGGACACGAGCCGCGGATCACGTGGTGTCTGCGAGCTGTGAGCTCTGAGGGGGTCCCTGAGATCTGCCCGCCCTGAGGGCCGGGGAGCCATGCCGGGGAGGGGGCCTGGGCTGCACTGAAGGATGAAGAAGGTGGGGTCTCCGGCAGTCACTGCGGAGCAGGAGGCTGGCTCACCCGCCACCTGGGGAGGCGCCGTGACAAGCATGCGGCACTCCCACCCCTGCCCAGGTGCTGAGCTCCCACTGACGCTCAGCCCTGAATACCTGGTCTCTTCTCCCTTTCTCCCCACCTGCACGGGAAGCCATGCCAGCCCACCTCACAGATGGGAAAACTGAGGCTCCGTGAGGCTAACAGAACTGCCCTGGGTCACACAGCTGGCAATAGCAGGGCCAGAATTTGAACAGAGTCCATATGGTTCCCACGCCGCGCTGTTTCCACAATCCCTGACCGCTAGGTGGATGCAAAAGGAGATTCTGAGTACAAGCCGCCAGGGCCAAGCTCCTGTATCTACAGGTTTTTCCTGCTGGGAAACGTAATTCCACTTGGGCTGTTTGTCCCAACCATAAAAACAAACACAGTTCTCTCATCATTCTTCATATCTAGGGCTGCACGTGAGTGGAAATTGAAGTCTGCCGGGGTGCCACAAATTGACCACGTGTGGAAGACTGGAGTGTGGGGAAATACTAAGAATGACAGGGACCTGGAAAGGAGGGAGGGAAACCAGGTGGGGGAGGAAGTCCCTCCTGCCCTCTAAGCAGTGACCCTCCCTCCCTGGCAAGCACTTACAGACATGCACCCTACACACTCATACTCCATGCACACAGATATACACACACAGCACGCATGCACCCACAGGTGCATATTCATACACATACGCCATGCATGCACCCACACACATACATATACACATGCATCTGCAAACACACATTCACCATGCATGCACAAATATGCACACAGATATACATACACCATGCACACATACACCATGCACACACACATATACACACACATACACTTATAACCATTAACACCAACGTGGGTCTTAAGCATTCTCATTTTATAAAACTCCCTGACTCCCACATTGATTCTTGTCCTCTGCATGCATGCTATCCCATGGTCTTAGGGCAGAGACTTCTGCCCTCAGTGAAACCTCCACTAAGCCCAACATGGCTCTGGCCACCCAAGAGAGACCCAATGACTGTTTAACAGGGCTAGTGTCCTCCTTTGGCAGGGCAATAAAGAAAAAGCAAGCCACTTGAGTGTGATGTTCTTCTAAAACAAAACAGAATTGTGAGCAGAGCCACATCTGTGGTGGCCGGTTCTGGGGTTAGGGCTGTGGGCTGTCGCCCCCCCCCATCCCACCCCATGACGTCAGCTGGGCCTAGGACGACACAGTCCGAGCCAGCACAGTCCTGGGATAAGAGAGAGGCAGAAACAGCAGATTAACTTATCCTGGCTGCAGCGAAGCACACACAGCCGCTATCAGCTGCCCAGAGCAGTCTCCACCGGGGACTTTGCCAGGACCATGGGACGAAGGGGCCTGTGGCTAGTGGTTCACCGGGCTCAGGTGGAACAGTGTCCCTTTGGATCCACTGATTCCCGCTAGGTTTTCTCACTGGGCCCGCAGGCCAACCATGTATATAGCCCACTGGGCCTAAACTTTACATAGCCCCTATTTATCCTAAAATGACATAATATGCTATTTGCATGTAATACACTAAATGACATAATCTAGCACCTGCATACCTTTTTTTTTTTTTTAAGCAATTGAATGCCCAAAGTGAAGTATCAAGGACAAATGAGAATAAGGTAAATTGTAATATGTGTATTTCCATCTGTGGGCGCTCGGCACGGCGCAGGAGGAGCCCCAGTGGAGTCAGCAGACAGTTACAGGGCTGGACTTCAGAGAAGTAGAGGGTCAGAGCCCCTCCAAACAAGACGCGTAGGAAAACCAAAGACCAGAGACTAACGTCAAATAAAAATCGGCCTTGTGTTACGTGATCACCAGAGAGTCTGTTTAACTACGTTCAACAGGAATGTCAGCGGGTTATCTACAAGGCATGCAAGGTGTGAATGACCCCGTTGTGGGGATGTCTCCAGGCACTGGGGACCGGCCAATAGTGTCACTTCTGATCATGACAACCACCAAACCTGTCCCTTCCATTTGTACAAGGGCCCCTAGAGGCAGGAGCGTCCCCTCTAAGAATCACAAGGGGAGGAGGTGTGGGGACACGGGGGACTGGAGCACACAGAGCTTCAGGAGGAAGAGGAAGTGGGTCGCCTTGGGGACCCTGTTCCCCGAGCCCACCAGGCCCTGTCCCTGCTACTCTCCTTAGCCAGCCCCCCACCCCAGGGTGCAGGAAGCAGCAGCGGCCTGACAGAAGAGTGGGAGCCGGGGCTGGGAGGTGGCTGGTGAGAACGCAGGTGCTCATCTGTGCATCATTTGATGCTGGTGCCTGGGGAATGGCCACCCCATCCAGCTGTGGGGTCCGCAATCTCCCAGCCCACGGGGGACAAGGGCTGCAGGCAGGAGCTTGGGAGTCAAGTGGGGGTATAGACTGGCCCTCTTGGGGTGTAGCAATTCCCTTCTGGGTCAGGAGCAAGCATAGTAAAATGACAGGGGCCTCTGGTTAGCCACAGCCAGGTGCACAGTGGCCCCCCCAGAACCCCCACCCCTTCCAAAGGCAACTGGGCATGCGGTGTGCAGGGCGTCCCCTCCACCCACCCAGCCAGGCTGCAGCGGGGGGAACCCCTGCACACGCCTGGGCACATACGTCCTGCTCAGTGGGCAGGTTCTAAGGTCAGCACGTAACGTAAGTCCCTGCACGCATCCAAAATCACTGCCCAAATCTCCCCTTGCACGGGCACCCCGCCAGAGGTCAGCATGCAGACCCTCAGCCCATCCAGCACAGCAGGCTTGTTCTCCTCCTTGGGAACAGACCCCTATTCCTTCCGCATGAGGGGCGCTGGGCCTCACAGCGCCATGTCGTGAGGAAGCCCAGGCTGCACCGAGGGGCCACACGTGGGTGCTCCGGCCGACAGCTCCAGTGGACACCCCAGCCCACGACCACCGCAACCACCGGATCTCCGGGGGGAGCAGCCTTCAGGTGACTTCAGCCCCTGCCCACGAGTCATCCCAGCCTTCAGATGTTCCAGGTGAGGTCCCAGCCATCACGCAGCAGGGGTAAACCATCCCCACGATGGCCATGTCTGAATTCCGGACCCACAGAATGGGGAGTCAAACCCCGGAACATAAGGGCACCTTGTGCCTCCGTGCACTCTTCGGGGTGTGCTGAGGGGCAGCGGCCTTGTGTGCCTCTCAAAGACTCCTCCTGGGAGGGGCACCCCAGAGCAGAGACCGACCCAGGGAAGAGCGAGATCAATCACGGCACTGGCCTGTGCTTTGTGCCCCCACCATTTAAAGTGTTTGTCCTAAAACGATGTGTGAAGTTGAATTTTTGTAGATGAAACAGGATGGATTCCACCAGAAAGACTTGTGGCTCAGCAGACGGCAAGGTGAATTCTCTGGAAGGACAGACACAGCAGGGTTGGTGAGCGATTGTCCAGCGTAGCCAACGATGAGTGGACTCAGAGTGGACTCAGAGACCGTGGTGGTCCTGCCTGGTGACTGTGAGTGGCGGGCTGGGGGGTGAGCCGAGCTGGCTCAGAGGATGGTGCAGCCACAACAGTACCGTCCAGGGTAGTCCGCCACATACACTCTGTGGTCGGTGCCGTAGATGTAGTACACGTTAGTCTTCCCTTGGTACCAGTAATGAACTTCTGTGAGGGGGATCAGCTCGACGGTCTGGCGCTGAGGAAACAATTGGCCAGGAAAACCTCAGTGTTCTGTTCGAGTCACTCACCTGCTCAAGAACTGTCGATAGCTCCCTACTACCTGCGGGATGAGGTTCATGCTCTGGAGTTGGCATTCTGCCTGCAATCTGCCTTTCCCGATGTAACTCCCACCACACTCCTTCATGTACCCTAAGCCCTGACCCAAACAGAACCGCCATCCGATTCTAGGTTTTATGAAGTGAGGCACAGGCGTCCCCAGAGGAATCGTGGGATGGGTGGAGCATCACCAGCCAAACAGGACATCTTCCAGAAACATTAATTTTTAGATGGAGGTCGGGGGTAGAGAAAGGTAGAGGATAAAGTCATTTTAAACATTTTTCTGTTACAACAAACATGGACATATTAGGAAGTGGATTATACAATTTGAAATAAATTTTCAGGTAAATATTGACTCCAAAGAAATTCCAAAGTTTGGTCGGCTGTTTCAGGCTACTTTCTCAGACCCCTCCCTCCCTCACCATGATTTTGCACTGACCTTCCTTTGAGAACAGTCTTTCTCAAACATTCCCCTCCTTTATCAAATGGGGAAAACTGAGGCCCGTGGGTTCATGGACTTTCCAGTTTGGAAGATCATCCAGGTCAAGCCCCATCCCCTTGCCATAGCTGGGTCTGTTTAACGCTCAAATCTCCTCCCCAGCATCCACCTCCACCTACGCCCGGGACACTCACTCCCTCCTACAGTATGGTCCTAAAGTCCCTCCTTCCCTGGCCCCTTCTCTGAGCAATGGCTCCACCACCTTCCCAAACTGAGGGGCCCTAAATGGAACCAGCAGCGCCGCCTTGGGAGAGACCCCCCCACTGAGGCACCCATCCCATTAGCTCTCGGGGCTGCTTGGCTATTGACAACTACAGATGCAACTGACACAGGAAAGTTACCCCTCATCATGGAAGCAAGCTTTCTTGGGGACATCCTGTGGGCCAGGCTCTCTGTCAAAACCCCTAAGTTCTTCTGCACTGACCCAGACCAGGTGTGGGGGTCCCAAACCCAGAGGGAGGTGGCTGGCTGCCCAGGGTCAGACCCTCTGACTCCCTCCTCAGGAAAAGAGCCAAGTGGGCGGTGGGAGGCCCTGGGGAGGGGTGGGGAGCAGCCCCCACTGTGCTGGGGAAGCCGAGAGGGGCATGACATTGTGGCAGGCAGGCGATCAGAATCAGGGTGTGCGTTTTCCACGAAGCTTTTTGTGGGAGCTCGCACTTCCTTTACCTGGACCTGTTTCCTCACCTGTGAAATGGGGATAAAACTTGCACTTCACAGTTGTTGAGGCAATGAAATGAGATTGTGAGACTGAGTTTTCTCCATCTGCTGGAAACTGGTCTCCAAGTGATAACTTTGGAGATAAAAGGTAGATGACCTCTCTTGACATTTCGGTTCAGAGGACCGGAAATATGAACTAAGAGGCAAGAGCTGATGGGAGCCCACGTCACTGCTCGGAAGGCCTGGACAGCGGTATCAGGACCACTCCTGTTTCCAGACTTTTCCACTAAGATCAAAGGGAGAGCGCACCCCACCGCCTCCACCACCCTGCGCTCACAGCTCAGCTTACTCTCCGGAGTCCTGTCCTTGAGATACGGAACCCTCCCCCTCCCAGGGCGGAGGTTGAGCCTGAGCCGAGGATGAGGATCGGGTGGTGCTGAAGAAGGAAGCCCGGCCTGCTGGCCTCCAGGACACCCTGAGGTGCGGGGGACGCTCAGAGCCCCCTTGGGGTCCGCAGAGGCTAGGCCGGGGCCTGCACTGCGCCCGCCCATGCGCGGTCTCTCCCTCCGCCCTGTCCGGCTCCGCGGGTTCTGCGGGGAGACCTTCTGCAGAGCCCAACCGAAGGCAAGGTCCCACCCTGCTGGTTTCCCAGACGAGGACACTGAGGCCCACGGGACGCGGAAAGGGCTCAGTGCCAGCAGTGCGCGCCTGGGCTGGCAAGCCGGCCCTCAGCTGGTACATGATTGTCCCTGCAGGGCCTGGCCCAGTGAGAATGGCCCCAAGTCTCCCCCTAGCCGCTGTCCCTTCAGCCTCCACTGACCTCCAAAGAGCTACTTGAGTCTCTTGAGCGCAGTGAAGACCGTTGGGCTTGGAGCTGGGAAGCTCGGGCTCTGTTCCTGGGCTCCACTAGGAGGCAGTGTGACCAGTTCCTGCCGCTCCCTGGGCCTCCTCTGCTTTACTGGGAAAGTCACAGGTTTAGACTAGACCTGGGACAGCCCATGACAGCCTGCAGGCCAGAGCAGGCCCACTGGCCCACACAGTGTTCTGAGCATTTTTTAAAATGTTGTTGTCAATATTGAAAAGTTAGAAGGTTTCATATAAAAATACAGACTTTAGAAGGTCTGAAATCTTGACCTCTGTGCCTACATGAAGCTGATGGTAGCCGGCCCCTTCAGATAAGAGGGTTCTCCCATCCACACTACCGCAGGGCTCTGGAAGGCCTGAGTTTGCAGTATCCCAATTCCATGATTTCTGAGGTCCATTCCAGCTCCAAGATGGTCATTTATTGATTTTAAATTAAATGTATCCTCTCTTCTGCAAATAGGGGAGCTTTGCAGAGCAAGAGGGGAATATTCATGTAAAGGGGACAGAAGGAACAAGGGCATTTTGATGACTGAGTTTCAAGGACTTAAAGAAAATTGTCTCCAATCAAAACAGCATATTGGCAGAAAAACAGACATACAGACCAATGGAACAGAATTAAAAGCCCAGAAATAAACCTACATATATATGGGCAAACCATTTTCAACAAAGGAGCCAAAAATATACAACGAGGAAAATAAAGCGTCTTCAACAAACTGTGCCTGGAAACTGGAAAGCCACATGCAAAAGAATGAGACTAGACTACTACTTGTCACCATACACAAAGGTTAATTCAAAATGAATCAAAGAACTAGAATATAAGAGCTGAAACAATAAAATAGAAGAAAACATAGGTACTAAACTTAATGACCTTGGTCTTAGAGATGATTTTATGAGTTTGACCCCAAAGGCAAGGGGAGTAAAAGCAAAAATAAATGAATGGGACTATATCAAACTAAAAAGCATCTGCACAGAAAAAGAAACCATCAGCCCTGGCCAGTTTGGCTCAGTGGTCAGAGTGTTGGCCCACAGACCAGAGAGTCCCAGGTTCGGTTCCCACTAAGGGCACATACCTCCATTGCAGTTTGTCCCCGACCCCAGTTGGGTCATGTGGGTGGCAACCAGTCAATGTGTCTCTCTCACCTCGATGTTTCTCTCTCTCTTCCCCCCTCTCTCCCTCCCACTCTATCTGAAGATAAATGCAAAAAAAAATGTCCTCAGGTGTGGATTAAAAAAGAAAAGAAAAAGAAACCATCAACACAACAAAAAGGCAACCAACTGAATGGGAGAAGATATTTGCAAACAATACCTCTGATAAGGGGTTAATACCCAAAATATATAAAGAACACATACAATTCAGTAACATAAAAACAAACAATCCAATTAAAAACTGGGCAGGTGACCAGAATAGATACTTCTCCCAATAAGATATACATATGGCCAATATATATATGAAAAGATGCTCAACTTCACATTAGGAAAGTGCAGATCAAAACAACAATGAAACACCTAGTCTAACAGAAAGACATGGGAAGAACTGAAGTGTCCCTTCTTTGTGACTAGACAAAGAAGACGTCGTTTGTACAATGAAACACTACTCGGCCATAAGAAAAGATGAAATATTGCCATTTGCGATAAAGGGATGGATCTTGAGAACACCATGCTAAGCGAAATAAGTCAGATGAAAACAGTTGAGAGTCATATGACTTCACTCATATGTGGGATATAAAACTGAAAGCAACAAATGAACAAACACTCACAGACGGCAGTATGGTGATTATCGAAGGGGAAGGGGTGGGGGAGGGTCAAGGGGGTCCAATATGTGGTGGAAGGAGATTTGACTTGGGTGGTGAGCACACAATGCTATATACAGATGATGTATTATAGAATTGCACACTAAAATCTATATAATTTTATTAACTGATGTCATGCCAGTAAATTTAATGAAATTTCAAAAGAGAAAAAGAAAATTGGCTCGTCCTTACAAAGTCCTGAGGCCATTTTAGCATTTCTTTCTCCACAGGTGAGAAACTTGGACTTCAGAGAGGAGGAAGTAGGTGGCCCATGACCAGGTTAGGGTGCAAAAAAAATAGGATCTGAGCCCACTTTGCAAGACTCAGGCCCCAGCTGACAGAACCCCTCACCGAACTGGCGCCGGCTTTCCCTGTCCAAACCCCCACCTTGCAGGGCTTCCAGCCAGCAGCTGCAAAGGCCGCTCCTGGGAACGCATCGTACACCACTGCCACCTAGTGGCTACCAGGATACAGTACAAAGCCACCCTAACTCCTGGGGCCGCGGGCGGGCACCACTGCCACCTAGTGGCCACCAGGATACAGACCAAAGCCACCCTAGCCTTGGCTGCCACCGGACACTTGGGAGGCTTGGGGAAGACAGGCCTGGGACTTGGGAAGTGCCCTGAGGGGCAGGACGCTGGGTCCCCATTCTTCCCTGGATCCCTTCCTCTCTCCGAGTGTGGAGGAGATTCGGATAAAAATCACACGGAGCCCCATTCCTGCTTGAAACCCTGCAATAGCTTCCTTCCACTCTCAGGATACCAGTCCAAACCTGTCACCGTGGACAAGGTGGCCTGCCCTGCTCACTGCCTCCAGCCACACTGGCCCCAGCTCAGTCCCAGTACCCCGTGTTCCTCAGGCTGGGGCTCCTCCCCACCATTCTGAGCCCCCAGCAGAGGGAACATCCCATTTCCTCCCTTCTGTGACCAGAGAGACAGTGCCCTTGGAGACCCACCTGGCCCTAGAAACCTCGCCTCCCAAAACCCCAGGTCCCCACCCACTCACCTGCTGAAGGACGCGGGCTCTGGAGGCCAGGGTGGCGCTGTGTTGGGCAATGCCCCGCTGGGAGGCCAGAGAGATCTCCCGCAGGGGGAAGTCCACAAGGGGGTACACCTGGGGAGAGACACCACCGCCTCGCTACTCTGACCAAGTGTCTGCACCTGGAGCCTGGGCAGTGGCTTTTAGGCGAACGGGAGCGAGCCCAGATTGGGGAGGGTCTGGGCCTCACAGCCAGAGGGTGGGGATTGCTTGAGTGCCACAGAGCCTTGATTACCCACATTGTGTTGGGAATGCCACCAAAAGGGGACTGTAGACAGGGTGCTCCCCCACCCGCAGCCCACTCAGCCACCCAGCAAGCCTCTGAGGCCGCCTGGCATGGGGTGGGGTGCAGGTTTCTAGGGGGACGATGCCTGCCATGAGCCTTTAGGAGCCGCAGTAAAGGGGGCAAAGAAGGGAGGCTGAGAAATAGTCTTCATAGGAAAGAAGGAAGACCTGACATCTCAACCTTGAGGCATTATGCTAAGTGAAATAAATCAGACAGAGAAAGACAAACACCATATGTTCTCACTTGTGTGTGGAACCTGAAAAAACAAAGCAATCAAACTCATAAATACAGAGAACAGATTGATGGTTGCCAGAGGCGGGGTGAGGGCAGTCAAAAGCTACAAACTTCTGCCCTGTCCTGTGCTTTCAGTGGTTAGAGCGTTGTCCCATGGACCAAAGAGTCTTGGGTTCAATTCTGTCCAAAGCCACATACCCCGGTCGATGGGTCTCTCCCACATCTCTCTCTCTCTCTCTCTCTCTCTCTCTCTCTCTCTCTCTCTCCCCCTCCCACTCTATCTGGAAATAAATGGAAAAATATTTTCAGGTGAGGATTAAAAAAGGGGGGGGGGGGAGCCTGGCCAGTTTTTGTCAGTGGTTAGAGCATCGGCCTGCAGTCCTGAGAGACCCGGGTTCGGTTCCCGCTAAGGGCATGTACCTCAGTTGCAGTTTGTCCCCAGCCCTGGTTGGTCGTGCGGGTGGCAGCCACTCGATGTGTCCCTTTCACGTCGATGTTTCTCTTTCTCTCTCTCTCTTCCTCTCTCCCCCTCCCACTCTATCTGAACAAAATATGGAAAATGTCCTCGGGTGAGGATAAAAAAAAAAAAAAAAAAGGTACAAGCTTTCGGTTATAAAATAAGTCCTCGGTTTGTAATGTACAGGACGGTGACTACAGTACCTAGTACTGCGCTGGATGTTTGAACGTTGCTGAGAGAATAGATGTGTATCATCAGGAGGGCATTGCCAGGAGAAGCCCTCTCCAACCCAGAAAGCATGAGGTGGTGGCTTCCTTGAGAGCATGGTATATGATTAATTAGAGGGAATAGCTCTTAAAAGTTCTCATTACAAGAAAAAAATAAATTATATAACTATGTGTGGTGATGGATGTTAACTAGACTTCTTGTGGTGATAATTTCACAATATATACATATAGCAAATCATTGTGCTGTACACCTAAAACTAATATAATGACATATGTTAATTATATCTCAATTTTTAAAAATGCATGTTACAAAGTGAAAGAAGCCAATCTGAAAAGGTCACATATTGGAAAGAAAGAAAGAGACGGAGGGAAGGAGCGAGGGAGGGAAGGAAGCCTGGCTTAGCACCTGCCCCTCAGAGAACACAGCACAGGGACCCTGGTCGGACATCCATCCCATAAAGGCCGAGCACCCTGCCAAGGCCTCCAGCAGGGCTGGCAAACCTGTCTGTACAGAGCCACATGGTAAACATCTCAGGCTTCGTGCCCAGAGGGTCCCCTCTCAACCACTGACTCGGACCTTGCAGCACAACGCCAGCCACAGACAGCACGTAAGCAAACAGGCTATGTCCCAGCAAAACTTCATTTATAAAGGCAGGCCGAGGGCCGGAGTTTGCCAGCCCCTGGCCAACAGGCCCCCCCTGATCTGCTGCCAGCACGTGTCATGTCGCAGCTCCTCCCTCTGCCTGGCTCACCGCCCTCCAGGCGCCGCTCTGCCTTCCTTCAAGGCCTCTGCCATGCCCTTCCCTCTGCTGGACACCCTCGCTCCGAGGGCCACGCAGTCGCCCCACTGCCCTCCGTCAGGTCTTTGCCCACCGTCACCTCCCTACCCTGAGCTGAAACACCCTCTGCCCCCGGTCTCCTCACCCTGGCTGCGTATTTCTCAGGGACTCTAACGCCGTGGTGAAGTGTTATCTTCTCTCACCAGGCTGAGATCTACGAGGCAGGGATTTTGCTGGACAGTATCCCCAGGGCCCAGCCTGGTGCCTGGTACAGGAGGAGGGTCTCCAAGGTTGTGGGAGGGAGGGAGGTCGGGGAGGGATGGGGAAACAGAGGAAGGGTCCAGTATGTGAACTTCAAGGGCGGCCTGGCCCCGCGGGGTCCCAGATGCCTGTCCCGTCCGGGTGGCTCTGTTCCCTCCCGCCCGTCCTAAGTGAACGTAGCCCCCGCGGAAAGCCCGAAGAGGGGCGCAGCTTCTGGGGGTGCTCGGCAAAGCCCGCCTCACCATGGTGTTTTCATCCTTAAAGAAGTTTTCTCCTTTGGCTTTAGCGAGGAGCTCCGCGGGGCAGTTCAGCCTGTGCTCAGACACAAACTCAAACAGGCTGTTCTTCCTGGAGGGGGAGGGGGGGATGGTTAGAACCTGGGTTTGGAACCAGACGGGCCGGGCTGCTGGTGGGCCCTGGGGAGGTCAGCAGCCTCTCGGCCTCAGCACGTCGGCTGGGAACTGGGAAACCAGTGAGGTGCGGACAGCTCCGTCCTGTGACCTCACCCCATCCTCCCCGTGAGCCCCGAGCAAAGTCTGCCGCAGGAGGAACCCTGGAGTTCAGGACACAGAGGGACTGCCCAGCTGTGGCGTGGCTGCCGCGCTAGAAAGGGGTGATGTCAGATGTGAACTCGGGTCTCGCCACCCGCGCTGCCTCTCCCCAGGGACCTCCCCTCCCCAGGTGCTTCAGCCCTTTTCTGCCAGCAGGTCCCTGTACTGTGAGAGCCCCAACCATGGAGTTTCTCTGCAGAAACCAGTCCAGGCCACGTCCCCCAGCTGGGCCGCCGCACTGAGACACTGCCACGTACCACATGATGACCAGCTGGATGAAGTGCAACAGTTTCTTTTCCCCCTTGCAGGTGGCACAGGTCTTGTTCCCCCTCCCTGAGCACGTGCTGCACCTGAGAGGGACACACCATCAGTACCACCCAGATACACACGGGGCCCTGGTGGCTTCTGGAGGCTCCACCCTCCTCAGAGTGGGGGGCTGTGGTGGAATGGATTGCTTCCACTGTCCCACCATCTAAAGCTTTTTCTTCTGGTGGCAGTGCCCCCAACTTCCCTTTGGAAACCACCCTTCTCTCACCTGATCTATGTGGTCCATCAGAGCCCCGCCCCTTCGATGACCAGCTTGGGACCTTGGCCTGGCCAGTCAGCTTTTCCCATCTCCCTGGCCATAGTGGCTGATACAAAGATGGGCACCCAGGTAAGTGCAAGAGATCCACCCTGGAACTTTTGTTGGAACTTTCAGAAAAGGGACATCCTTTTCTACTGAGGTTACTAAGCTTAGAGCTGCTGGTGGTCCCCTCTGCCACAGGAGACAGCTTGCCTGAGACTAAAACCAGCACATAGTGAGAATAGAGACAGATCCCTGATGACATGGTTTAAGCACCTGGATCCAGCTGTACCTGAAGCCATCCCAGAAATATATTCCTGGATGTTTCTGTTACATGGAACTATACATTTCCTTTTTTGCTGAAGCCAGTCTGAATTTGATTTCTTTCACTTGCATATGAAAGAAACCTGAGTTTCTTTCCACATCAAAGGTGGCAGGATGTCCAGGGCCTCAGTGAGCTAAAATGTATCTTTAACCAACACAACTTTGAACAGTTTCACCCTTCATGGTTTCCTGTTTTCCTTTAAAGATTTATGAACACCTTAAAGGACATGATTTACAAAATGCAATGCCCCACTGTTTGCAAAGCCCTGTGAGCAGAGATGAAACCTTCTTGACTATTTAGTCAGTGAACCAACCTTCCTGAACTCCTCTATTCACACCTTGCAATGAGTTAGAAATGAGGGTTTTTCCAGGCCCAGATCCTCAGAGTTAAGAGTCTCACCTTGGGTGGTTTTCTACGTTCACTTCCTGCCCCACCACTAAGCAGGAGCAGGTCCGTCCTTACGCGGCCCGCTCCTTCCTGCAGGACCTTGTTTCTTACGCCTGGCCCACAGATTGCTCGATGAGGTCCAGTCTAGCCCAGGAATACCAGGCCTCAAGAAGGCCCGCCCGTTGCACACGTATGTACCCAGCACCGACTATTCACAGAGCTCTGGGGACACGGCGTGGCAGGGCAGGCAGGGTGCAGACAACATGAGGCAGGAGAGCGGGGGGACCCACTCATACCTGTGCCTGCCAGACCCCGAGCACATCTGACACCTCCCAGGCTGCTTGGCTCTGCGCTTGGCTCCGCTGCAGGAGGGGCACCTCACCTGCGGACACACCGAGGCCTCAGTACCTCCCCAGGGAGTGGGGCAAAGAGCTTCCCAAGAAGTGGTTCAAATCCCAGTTTGGTGACGTTGAGCAAGCCCCTTCCTCTCCCTGGCCCCCATCCCCTCGCCTGTAAAATGGGAGGGTTGGACCTTGTATCTAAGGACCCCTCCAGTGTAACTTTCAGACTCTACATCCTGACATCCCTGGGACATCGGCCTGTCCTGCTCCTCGCTGATCCCCTGCACCATGGCCAGAGGGAGCAGGAGGAGGGGCAGGCTGGCCGGGGACCTGGTGTCGGGCACGCCCCCGGAGGTGATCAGACAGGCTCTCAGGGTTGGTTTGGGGGCTCCAGGACCTTCCAAAGGCCTGGGGGAGGTGGGGGAGGAGGAGGAGCAGGGGTGGAGGAAGCAGACACGCCCTCGGGGAGGGGCTCTGAGAAAGCCATGAGGCGGTGGCGAAGGGCAGGAGAGAGGGCACAGAGCAGAGCGGGCGCAGGCCACAGTCGACCCACAGGTGGTGCTCAGGGGGCAGAGGCTGGGCACACAGCAGGCGGACGAAGGGACCAACAGAGTAGAAGGCAGGCGGGCAGGTGGAAGGATGGAGGAAGACACAGCTCAGAGACACGAGTGGTCGGTATGTGTCCACGGGATTCGGTGTGAATGGGGAGGGCTCAGAACACTGAGGAGCCTGGCAGCACCCCGGGACCAGCAGTAACCCTGAACATTTCCGACCAGAAGGCTGAGGCCATGAGAGCCTGGCTGTGGGCCTAGGGCCGCACTGGGCCGAGCGGTGTCCCACCTCCTCCCCCACCAGGACCTCAGCATGGGACCCCTGTGGAACTAGACTCTGCAGATGTCATTAGTTAAGATGAGGTCATCCCGGACTAGGGCGGGCCCCAAATCCAATGACCGGTGTCCTTATAAGAAGGCCATGAGGACACACAGACAGAAGGAGAGGCCATGTGAGGCCATGTGCGGAAGCTGGAGCGATGCGGCTACAGGCCAGGGGCCACCCCGGGTGCTGGCGGCTGCCATGAGCTCAGGCGGCGGCGTCTCCCTCGGGACCTCCGCTGCCGTCCCGGTTCTGCACTCCCAGCCCCAGCACGGTGACAGAATCCACGTCTGTCGTTTGAAGCCGCCCAGTCTGTGCTAGTTTATTACAGTGGCCCTCGGACACGGGTACAGGGCCCCCCGTCTGTTGTCTCCGGGAGCGCCCTGAACTTCACCTTCTCGGCGCCCATCACCCTGTCCTGCAAGTGCTAGTCTCTGTCCCTGTGGGAAGGACCCCAGGTCTCAGTCCCCTTGCTGGGCCTAGTGCTAAGCAGGTACTCAGTGAATGTTCACAGATGGATGAGAAAAGAGGAGGAAAGTTAAAATCAAAGTGAAAAAGGCCAACAGAGACCGCCCAATCCAACCTTCCCATTTTATAGGTGGGAAAACAGGTCCAGCAAGGGGCAAGGACCTGCCTGAGGTCCCACGGTCAGTGGGGAGCCCCGGGCCCCAGCCCTTTGTCCCCGCGGGGCCCCTCCACTCACACTGCACTTACCAAGGCACATGTGACTCACCATGCAGGCCCCGTGGCAGCCGCTGCACTTGCAGTGCCCACGCCCGTGGCACCTGTGGCACTCCTGAGGGGAAAGGCGCTCCTTGGATCTAGGTTCTCAGACACCTGCAGCTCCACCACCTCCACCCCACCCCCGTCCCGTCACCATCCCAAACACCCCCGTCTCCCCGGGTGCAGCCATTCAGAGCCAGAGAGGGGAGATGGCCACTCCCACCTGACCACGATCCCCAAGGGCCTTGAATGCCAAGCCCAGGAGATCATGCCCCCCTTCCTCAGAGCCCCAGCCCCGTCTGACCCGGATGCTAAGGAGACTTGCTCTCCAAGTCCCATGTCCTAACGCATGTTCCCAGGCTAAACCACAAAGGCCGGAGCCCTTGGCCCATCAGGAGCTAAAGTGGCCCCTGGGAACAGAAGCCATAAAGAGTGGACAGCATGTTTGCGAACGGCACCACGCTAGCTACTGGGCTCTGATCACGGGCTCAGCATAGCTTCCCGCTCCGGAGGGAGGAACGGAAGGAGCTGCTGGGCTCTCGGAGTCCTCTCCCCTGTATGCTACGAAGACACACGGGTAAAAGTACATGCTTGGATCGAGCTCTAAAGTGAAGATAAGACAGGTAATGAGATGGGAACATAGCATAAAATGTCTCAGCTGGGCTTTACACTCGGTTCCCCTCACTTCGTGTCGTGATGATGTTTCTGTCCAATGGGATGGAGGTAAATTCTGCTCCCTGACTGACTTCCAGGAAGAATCCCAACAACGGTTTCACTTTGTTGTCTCTGTTTCCTTCAGCGCATCAGCCCCTGACTGTCAGGCCCAAGGAGGGGAGAAGGATGGACACCCAGAGGGTTTAGGACTGTGAATGTTCACGGTTTAAAACTGGTGACAGTTTTTGTGAATCGGGCCATTCTTTTGCTATGTGAATAGCCAAGAAAGGAACCCACAGCCTAGATTCGGGGTTTCCTTTCTGAAAGGATAATGTTTCAGGAAACTACAGTGCCTGGAAAACGAGCCCAGGGAGAAGGGCGTGTTGTCATAATCATGTTACCTTGACCAGTGACGAGTGAGGGACTTGGAACTTCCTGGTTTCTTCCTGAAACATCGGGGGGACCTGGACCTTGATGTCCCAGAGCCTGGGGGACGTCCCTCTTCGTGGCCCATCTACTAAGTGATCTGACACAGAAGCCATCATTGTAAGAACAGCAAACAGCCACCAGGACAAGCTTTCATTTATTCACCAAATAGGACAGAGCCTTCCCTCGGCGCCAGGCACTGGGCTAGACCCTGGGGCTACAAGGAAGGGTAGATAAGGGGTCCCTTGGAGTTCGTAGTTAAGCACCCAGCTTTGGGGTTGAAGAGACTTGGGTTTGACTCCTGGTTCTTCTACTTTCCAGCTGCGTAACTGCAGGCAAGTTACTTCACCTCTCTGACCTTCAGCTGTCTCATCTCTAAAATGGGGATAACAGTGGCACGTACCATAGAAGATGGTCGTGAAAATTACATGGAAGAAGGTATGTAAGTGCTTAGCCTAGGGCCGCACACACTGAAGCCTCGATAAACAAGAATTAGCCTTATATGGTCTCCATCCCCACCGTCCTCTTCCTCCTCCGATCAGGAGAGACACAGCTGCATGCATGAGGGTAAGTGCTTTGGCCAAGAGTCGCATAAAGGGCTCTGAAAACCCAGAAAACTAACTCATCCTGCTGGGGAGGGAAATTGCAGGAGAAGAAATCCTGGAAGGCTTCATGAGAGAGGTGACTTATGAGCTGAGTCTTGAAGGATGAACCAAAATGGTCAACAGAGATAACAGGTGGAGTGCAGGGCTTCCCAGACAGCACCTGAGGCCTTCGTGGGGGCCAGCAGGAGGTGGGCTGGCACAGTCACTCGGGACCCAAGGTGGCCTGGGGGGCAGAGAGATGCCCAAGTACACACGCTGCCTGTGCCATCTACCCTGGTGGCAGCACCAGCCTGTGGCCAAAGGCAAATGTTAGACTTTCTCGGGACCTTCTGCAAACAGTTTTCTAGCCAGGACGCCGTTGCTAAGATCAGCCCTGGGAAGTCTCCGAGATGAAAGCCCACCCTCTCGTTTCACAGGGGACGGGGAGCCAAGGCTCCGAACAGAAGAGCCTCCCATTCCAGGCCAGCGGCTGAGACTAGCTCCTGCCCTGTTTGCCCATTTCAGACGACTCACTCACTAGTAAAGGGTTGAAATGTCCATTCGCTTATCCTGGATTCACTGAAAGTCTCCAGTCGATACTACGGAGAAAAAGACAGCATGTTCCCACTCGTGACCCTTAGGAAGACCGAGCACTGTGCAAACAGAGGAAGCTCCCACCTGCCGGGGCCCCGGAGGAAACCAGGGCTCCACACGTGGCACAGGGATTTCTGTTCCACCCGCGCGGCCACAGCGGCAGGGAGGCCGGGGCCCCAGGACATCTGCTCTGACAGCTCCCCGCGGGGGCGATTCCAGCACCCCGCTTCTTTATACAGGGAAACATTCTAAGAGGCAAGTTTTGGAGCAGCAATTGCCTCCTGGCAGTTGGGGACCCCTGGCATCCACTGCCCTGAGGGTCCCCCTTTGGGGGAATTGACCTGCCTGATGTCACGATCCTTCTTGACCCTCGTCCACAGACTCAGAAACCAGAACGGTATCTTGGACATCACCTGGCTCCTCTTTTTTCATGTGAGGAATTGGAGACTCAGAGAGGTCAGGAGACTTGCCCAAGGCCACGCAGCTACACAGGGGCCTCTTCCCCAAATCCCTGCTCTAACCACTTGCCTGATTTCTGTGTGCCTGTGTGCTCACCAGAGCACGACTGTGCTGTGACATTAGATAACGGGAACCTGTCCCTTGGCCCTTTGTTGCAGCAGGTGACCTGGGAGCCTGTTGTGGTCCCAGCTGTGGTCTTGGTGTGGGCTTTCCCTGGGTGTCAGGCCCCAGTGATGAATAAACGATTCCTCCACCTGGACATGACTTGGGGGAGGCAGAGGAAGCTGGGATGAAGGGGAGTCGGTGGCCCTCTCTCAACCCACCGTCGTGGGAGCCGCTCAGCCTTGTGTTTGAAGACACGGCTTCAGCACCAGCAAACCAGAGTCTGAACCCCAGCTTGGTTGCTTCTAGCTGCATGTTTTGGGGCAAGTACCTCCGCCTCCCCAGACAGCCAATTGCTCCTCTATAAACTGATGACAACACCTGCACGGCAGGTAGCTGTGAGCACGCGCTGAGACGTACACGCAGCGGGTTTCACGGGACACCTCGCACACTGAGCTTCGGGGATGATCGATAATAAGGACTCCTGGCATCACTACAGACTGCAGACCAGAGGGGTCACAGAAGGGACGTCAGCGTCACCACCATCCACATGCACTGCCCCCGGCCCCTTCACCCCACTTCCCGGCACAGGAGCCCTGCCGGCCACTCTTACCCTGCACACAGTCTGCTGCCTCAGCTCCTGGATGACAAGGTCGCTGGCGGCCGAGCTGCCATAGCAGCATTTGGAGTGAACGAAGCTGAGGAGAGCTTCCCGTGCCACCTCCTCTGTCACCACAGGGATTCTGCCAGGGACAGAGCAGAGAGGCGAGGGGGTCCGGGGCGGCCCAGGGCTCCTCCAGGCCAGGCAGCCCCTCCCTGCGCACAGGGAAGCTGGCCACCGTGGTGGGAAAGCGCTCGGGGTCCAAGGGGGCACCCTGGCAAAGGGGGGTGTGGGAACAGAGGCCCGGGGCAGGAGAGGACAGCGGAGCGCGTGAGCTGAAGTGTGGAGCTCAGGAGACGGGCTGATAGACTCTGAGAACTAAAAGCAAACAAAACGCTTAAGGATGAATTATGCCATGTTGCAGATGAGGAAACCGACACCGAGAAGGTATCGCACAGCTGAAGAGGCAGCGCTGGGCCGGGAGGTCCTTGCCCTCTGGGAACTCCACCTCGGCCAGAGGAGCCAAGAGCCACTTCACGTGAGGACAGCCAAGAGCCAGCCAACAGCGGCCCGCAGCCCTCCCAGCCTCCGTCTGGACACCTCTCCCTCTCCTGAGGCCCAGCTGCCAGGTCCCCTCCTTAGTGAAACCCTCCCGCCCCGACCCCCGTAGGCAGGAGCCCTCTCCTCCTTCCTCCCGCCCACATCTTCCTCTCTCTCCACAGCAGCCCAGCTCCTGGTGGGCAGCCCTCCTCATGCACCTGCCTTCAGCGGGGAGGCCACGGGCAAGCAGGGAGGAGAGGTGGCCAGGGGGAGGCGCTCGGGCTCCCCTCTCTGCACCAGCTGGCAGTGACCTCGGAGCTCTGCCCCAGTCTTCCAAAAACAAGGAGGGCGTGGCCTCTCCAGGGAGCAGCTCGCTTTTTCTGTAAAGGGTCAGAGAGACTATTTTAGGCTCTGTGGGCCCTGCAGTCTGTCTCAACCACTCACCTCTGCTGTTGTAGTGGGAACAGCCACAGACCAAGAGCAACAGATGACAGGGACTGTGGGCCAATACAAATCAACTTTCAAAAACAGGCAGTGAGCTGGATTTGGCCCAGGACCATAGTTTGCAATCTCTGCTCTCGACTATGCTTTTCAACTCTGGCTTGGTAGCCAAGCAGCCTGCAGAGCATGGTAAGATGCAGATTCCCAGGCTCCATCCCTGGAAGTCGGATCCAGGAGGTCTGGATCCCCACGCACTGTCAGGGTTGAGACCTGTGTCCCCTGAGAGCCCCGAGGAGGACTCTCGGGGGCAAGGGGGACAGTGAGGACCACTATCCTGTGTGATGGCTCTAGGAGGGCCGCCAGAGCACACCTGCAGCTCACCTGTGTTCCAGGAACGAGGACCAGCACCTTTGTTCCGGGGGTCTCCGTGGGGCCTCCAAAGGTGGGAAGAATATCTGCTGTCCTGGAAGAGAGGGGAGGAGTCAGAGGCTAGCAAAGGAACAAATACCTGTGGGTGAAAGAAGGAAAGACTGGCTGAATGTGAGAAAGAACAGATGAAGAAGAACAATGATGGTTCTCAGACCAGCATCCTTCTGGTCTTAGGTGGACATAGTCATGGGATGTTCGTGGATTCCCTCCTGACAAACACAAGAGAAAAGGGAGCTATCCCAGTGCCGACCTGTTCCAGAGACTCTCCCCAACCAGCAGAAGCCCCAGGAAGAAGCCGCAGGAACCAAGACCCCACAGACTTACCGCCCCCTTGAAAAAGGTAGTCATAGCTGGGCAGCCTCTCCAGGAGTTCCACGGGGGGCGCCAGGGGCCCCTCAGCCTCGAAGCTGAGGTCCACCACACCTGCAGAAAGATGGCAGTGCTGAGCCTGGGGACAGAGGGGCATCGATGGTGACGTCACAGGAAGCTGACAAGTGAGGGCAGGTGCATGAAAAAACCCTCACCATTTCCCTAAGCCTCCTCACTCTGGCACCCTCGGACAGAACACGTCTGCAGGGGGAGAGGGGGTGGGGGAGCATTGCAGCAGCAATAACAGGGAGGGGAAATGGTAAGAGTGGCAGCTCCTGTTTGACGGCCACCTGCTCTGTGCCAGTCGCCCTGACAGGTGCTTTATAAACAATGTCCTATTCCAGGACCCTGGAGATAGATACTGAGCTACAGGCGGTCACAGTTCTGTAAGGTTCCTCTCTCACACCGAAAGGGGGGAGGGGGTGTCCTCTCCGTGAGCCTGGGCAGGTGTAAGACTGCTTCAACCCAAGGAACACGATGGAAGCAAGGAAGAGGCTGCAACGCCTGGATCCAGGAGCACTCCCTCCTGAGCCCCGAGCTGCCGTGTAAGAAATCAGACCGTCCTACTAGACAGACCACGTGGAGATGCCCTAAGACTAAATGGAGAGGACCCAGCGGAGCCCAGCCTTCCCGCCGCCACCCGGCCGCCAGGCACGTGCATGAAGCCCTCTTGGACCCTCCGGACTGGACCAAGCTGCCTGGTGAACACCGCAGAGTGACCTGCCAGTTTCAGAAGGACTAGAGGAAGAGCTTGCAACTTTGATCAGACAACGTAAATTAAGCTGGCAGGCCGCCCGTGCTGATGAACTGGCTATTCTGGTTGGTCAATTATCTAAAACTAGTCAGAAGAGAGAACAAGATAAAGCTGCCAACAGTATGAACGTATAGCTCCAACAATTAAGCAACCAAGTCCGATCTACTCGGGGTCTCTTAGTCAAGGGGAGAGGGGAGTCTGTTTTACTGTAAAAAGCCAGGTCACCATAAGAAAGTCTGTAGAAAACTGAAATGGGATTTACAAAGAACAAACAAATAGAGCCTACGCCTGCTCCAAGGACTGTGCCAGGGTATTTCCCCTTCTCCTTACTAATACTTTAGGAGAAATGAAAATGATGATAAAAAGGGACATTTCTAAGGCCCTTGCAGATAGTGGGGCTACTTTATCCCTTCTTAACCCTACCCAGCTGAGTCGTCCTCTCCCTTGGAGTAAAGCTTCTGTGTGAATGGAAGGGGTACCTAACCAAGCAGCGACTGTTTTTACATCTGAACCTGTCCCCTTTCAACTGGGGAACGTTACAGGGCAACAGATATTTTTACTGGCCAAATCAGCCCCAATTCACCTAACAGGGAGAGATTTTCCTGACACCCAGGATGCCCACATATCCTTTTTCCCGGAAGGGTGAAATATATTTAGAACTAAATGAATCAGATACTGAACCAATTGGGAAAATAATCATTTTAAAGGAACTTCGGAGGAAAATAATCTTGAAGCTGATCATTTGTGGCAGAATGTTCCAATGCAACATTGGCTCCTTTCCAGGAGATATTGGCAAGATCAAGTCATCCACTCCTATTAAAATAACTATTGATTATACTTTGCCTCTAACATTCACAATATCCTTTAAGACCTGATGCACTAGCTGGAATTAAGCCCATTATACAAGATTACTTAAAAGGGAAACATTTGAAAAAAGAAACAAAAAGGGGGGGCCTTATTGCCCCTCTAAAGCAGGGGACCCATCCTTTCTCCCCCCTGCTGAGTTACCTTGTGAATCCTTGATACTTTCCAAATTTTCAACCTGATAGGAGAAAAGTGGTACCTCTTTGTTTAAATTTCCCGTACTACTAGTGAGGGGAAACACCTTTGCATGCCTTTAATGGCCAGTTTAGTTTCTTCTTCTAAGAACTGGCTAGTTCCCCCATTTATTCTCCTATTGAATTTTTTTTTTGTCCTTTTCTCAAGAGGTTCATAGGAGACTTTGTTGTTGTTAATCCTCCCTGGAGGATATTTTTTCCATTAATTTTTAGAGAGAGTAGAAGTGAGGGAGCGGAGAAAGAAAAACATCAGTGTGAGAGAAACACATCGAATGGTTGCTCCCTAACACACCCTGGCCAGGGCCAGGGCCGGAACCTGCAGCCTAGGTATGTGCCCTTGACCTTGACTGGGAATGAATGCTCTAACCACTGTACAACAGCGGCTGGGGCCATAGGCAACTTTTTGTTTGTTCACATTCTGGGTTCTCACCCTTTGTTACATGTAGTGAAAATATTTCACCCCTCGGTCTTTGTTTGTTTTTCTTTTGTCAAACACAATTATAGATCCCTGTAATTTTTCTACCTTTCCAGTAATGAAACTAAGTGGAAAATGATCTCAGAGCTATAAATAAGATAGTTGTTCCCAGATATCCTGTGGTTCCAAAACCACCTATTTTATTATCAGCCATTCCTGGGCCTGCCAGTATTTTTCAGTAATAGACTTATGTAGTTCTTTTTTCAGCATTCCAGTAGAAAAAGACAATCAATATCTCTTTGCTTTCACCTGGGAAGGTCAACAATTTACTTGGACCATAATGCCCCAGGGTCATATAGAAAGTCCCACCTGTTTCTCCCAGATATTAAAAGCTGATTTAAATGCTGTTAAATTTCCTAGAGTCCACTGTAATCCAGTATGTGGAAGATTTACTTTTAGGCTCTAGGATGTTACTAGACTCCCAGAAGGACACAGTTTACCTAGGGCAGCAGCCAGCTACAACAGGACACAAGGTCTCAAAGGAGAAGCTCGATGTTTCTGACCTGAAATGAAATACCTTGGCTGTGTATCTAAAGATGGGTTACTGATTAACCCAGAAAGGCTTAGAGAAATCATCTTTTCCTCTTCCAAAAACAAGAAAGCAGCTTAGAGGATTCCTAGGTTTGACTGGATATTGGCGAACTTGGGTTCCAAACTGTTCATTAATAACCCAGCCTCTATATATCCTACTAAAGTCAGATCAAACTGATCCAATTCAATGGATCCCCAAAGGGAGACAGACATGCTGTAGAGGCTCCAAAGGAAGCACTGTCCGGAGCTCCTGCTCTGGGACAGCCAATGATAAACTTCCCTTCTTCTTTCTCACACGTGGAAGTAAGGGAAATGCTTTAGGAGGTCTAACTCCGAAACATGGAAGTCATTATAGACCTATAGGATGTTATAGTCAGCAACTAGACTCGGTAGCAAAAGGGCTCCCTCCCTGCATGAGGGCCATCCCTGCTACTGCCATGCATGTAGACAGAAGGGATAGTTGTGGACTCTCCCTTGACTATTTAGGGTCCTCATTCTGTTGGATCTTTGCTGAACTCTCATCACACTCAACACTTCCAGTTAGTCGATTGGGTTCTTATGAAGCTCTCCCGCTCTCTGCACTTGTTACTTTAACTCACCTGTACCCTGCAACTTTGTTACCCTCTTTGCAAGATGTAGACACCCACAACTGTGTCCTGCTTACTGACTGCCTTCTTGTTCCTAGGAATGATTTATAGGAAACTCCTACTGCTAATGGTGACTTAATTTGGTTCACAGATGGATCTTATCTGAAAGATGAACAGGGACATGACTGAGCTGAATATACAATAGCTTCCATGGTGCAAATAATTGAAAGTTCTTATCTACGTACCTGAAATAAGATCTGCCCATCAAGCTGAACTAATTGCTTTAACCAGGGCTTGTCCATTGGCCAAAGAACATGTAGCTGGTGTTTACACTGCTAGTCACTGCATTTGGTGTAGCTCATGATTTTGGAACGTTATGGAAGTAGCAAGGCTTCTTAACTTCCTCCGGGCAGCCCATAAACAAATGGAAAACTGGCTGCAAGATTTTTAGATGCCATACAGCAACCAAAACAATCGGCAACTATCAAAATCCCAGGACATTCTAAAGCTTCCCCTGTGGAAGTAAAAGGAAATCATTTTGCCAACGCTGTAGCTAAGCAGGCGGCATTGAACAGTCAAGTTATTCAGACCCAAGAGTGGTCTTTGTTTTCTATTAAATCAATAAAAGATTATCTTTTCCAGTTTCAACAGACAGCTATGGAGGAAGAAAAGAGAATACGGCAACAAAAAGGGGGAACCTGTGAGCCAGACAGATAGATATGGCTTGGACCCAATCAGAAACCTATTCTACCTCTACTCAACATGTACACGAGCTAACACATTGGGGTCCAGAAAAGATGATTTCATAGAGTAAACAATCTTACTGGAAACCTCTCCTACCGTAGCTCATAAAGTGTGCAGCAGATGTTCTATCTGTCCAAAGCATTGCCCAGAAAAACCACTCCGTGGATCCCAAGGACATCTCCCACCTCCTTTAGGTCCATTTGAGGTATGGCAATTCGATTTTATCCAAATGCCATCATTTCAGGGACACAAATATATTTTAGTTGTGGTTTGTATGTTTTCCCGCCGGGTTGAGGCATTTCCTTGCAGGAGATCAGCAGCCTTAACGGTTGCTGAATTGTTATTAGAAAAAAAATAATTTCCAATTGGGGATTTCCCTCTGAGTGACATTGTGACAGAGGGACTCATTTCACTGGGCAAATAATAAAATCCGTCTGCAACACTTGGCCTGTACTACAGCGTTTTCATTGTGCCTATCACCCCTAGTCTTCTGGATTGGTGAAATGTACCAATGGTACAATCAAAATTTAACTAGCCAAAATTTCAGAAGCATTTCATCTCCCCCCTGGCAGGGACTTTTCAAGGATGAGAAGCCATGGACCACGGAGGCAGATGGCTGTCGCAAGACATCAACAAGGCCTGTAGGCTCACAAACGGATCCTGCTCAAATCATGTTCTTATATCACCGAGTTGTTATTGATTGAATATACATAAAATGATCTTTATGTTGTTAGTATCCTTCTTATGGTTTCCTAGTGGAAACAGTATCTGTCTCCCCAGATCCCTCTTTTATTAGATATGAAAATTTTAACTTGGATACCTGCTAATCTTTCCCACCTACTAGACAATGATATTCTGATTATCAGTCATGATAATGAAGTTAACACTTTGTTGGCCACACATTG